TGATCCATAAAAGTATAGTATTTGAAAATTCATACAATTTACAAATTTTAACAAAATAAGTTCAAATACAACCCAATATAGCTCCTCTCCTTCCTCTCCCTCTCTTCCCCCTCCCCCTCGCTCTTCCCCGCCCCCCGCGCTGATGAGCCTCGACTATCTGAGTATCCGGCTGTGTGTGAGGCTGCGAAGTGCCGGCTCCATCAGCATGTGAAGTGCCGGCTTCATCAGCATGTGAAGTTCCGGCTCCATGAGGCTGAGAAGTGCCGGCTCCATCAGCATGCGAAGTGCCGGCTCCATCGGCCTGCGAAGTGCCGGCGTCATCATCATGTGGCCGTCGACGCCGAGTGTACGCCTGCCCAAATGATCGAGACCTGTCCTCACGACCTGCGAACTCGTCGACGTGATTCTTATGAAACACCTGCGATATGGTCTTCTTGATCCTGCTGAGGAGTCCTAACGCCACCTGATCCTGAATCTCAGGCACGGTCGCATCAATATCAGCCTCAATGCTATCAAAAGCATGGACCTGTGAGGTAAACAATTTATTAAGTACCAACTCAAGAAAAAAATATTATAATTTAGCTTAGAAACTTACGTAATCTCTCTCGTTCATCCCACTAGGGATGTAACTGTCTGTCGGTGGGCGTGGCATGTGTCCAGCTAATGGTTGTGGGTCACGTGTGATCCATCTACGTGTGATACCCTAATACCAATGCATATACGCGGTATAGTCAACAGCTGTGGGCCTCGTATCCTAGATGAAATCCCACCTATGAGCCCACCTGTCTATGTAGGTCGCACGGACTACGGCCCAGTCGGTATGGTGCGAAGTAGGTCGCCACCGACGATCAATCTGCTCGACAGGATCTGGCACATACTGAGAGAGCGTAAACTGTCGTAGCACACAGTCAGGGACATGCATCTCCACGATCTCCCAAAAAATCAATGGAACTCTGGCTCTCCACAAGTCATGACTATCTCGGCAGATGGGTGCAAGAGAATGCATATCGAGCTCCGGCGGTGTATAGGGTCTCCACTTGAACTGAAATAAAATAAAACATTTATCAGTATCAACAACAAAACTATAATGTTCATAACGACTTAAGATTTATATTTACCTGTTCGTGTTGGAGGCCATCAAGCTCATTTCGGTAAAACTCACGATGGCGCGTCGCTGATCGGTACTTAGCGTACCGCACGTTATACCTATATGCAGAATAGAGAATATATAAGTACAAATTCAGTGCGAATAAAATTTGTGTGTACAATTATACCTGTGCGCCAAAGGAAACTACCCCTGTAGGTCACGATGCACAAGTAAAGTAGGGTGTCCAATGTGAATACGCTCCCATGACCAAATCTGTATCAATGTGCAGCATCCCTTAAATTCTTTATTCTGCATCAGGGATACTCTACCCAGTTCTCGATACAAGTATGCCAACACCGTACTACCCCATGACCGTGCGCCGCATACGTCAAAATCCTCCAGCAACGGCAGCCATCGTGCATGTACAAGAGTCTTGCTCGCATCAGGAAAAAGCACGCACCCTATCATGTGCAATAGGTACGCACGAGCATGGAACTGAAGCGTCTCCATACTGGCATCCTCTTGTATGTCGCCCTGAAATGTCTGACGAAGCCACGATAGCTTCATCACACCACTCCTCAAGTCAGGAACCTGTCCAAGAAGCCTAGCACATACCTCCAGCCAACTATGATCATCGGTGCCCGTAACTACCGGCCCATCGATCCGAAGCTCAAGTATGACGGCCACGTCCTGTAAAGTGGTGGTGCACTCCCCTATATGCATGTGAAAGGTGTTGGTCTCTGGCCTCCACCTCTCAATCAGTGCAGTGATAAGCGGCCAATCAAGCCTAATATATCGAACCGTCGAACACTTCCGGAAACCGGCCAGAGAGATCAGCGCTAGAACTCTCGCATCCTCAATGACCCAAGCTGAATGGCTCTGGGAATGCTCGATCATGGTGATGTCTGGTACGGGCTGTACATCAAAAAGAATTGATTAAGTATAATGCGAAAAATTAAAATTAGTGCCAATGCTACGTAGCATATACAAAAGATGTTTTACCTGTCCTGAGCCAATATGGTCTGAAACGTGGCTCGCCTGGAGGGTCAAAACCTCACAAAATTATTGATAATTTTTCCTCTAATTTTCACATTTATTGATAATTTCCCCTCTAATTTTTGCATTTATTGATAATTTCTCCTCTAATTTCACAAAATTATCGATAATTTCCACACTAATTCCACGAAATTATTGATAATTTCCACACTAATTCTTCACAAATTTCACAAAATTTTTGATAATTTCCCCTCTAATTTTCACATTTATTGATAATTTCCCCTCTAATTTTCACATTTCTTCACAAAATTCGTAAATAATTCACAATTAAATTCTAAAATCTAGATTTTTACATGTAATCTATCGGGCTGGGGTCGGGCTGGGTCACGCGCGCGTTATATAGGAACGCCAAACTCCACGGGAGTTTAACTCCCGTGGAGTTGCAGACGGCATTTCCTAGAGAGCGCTTTCTGGGAAATGCGGCCTATAATTCCACGGGAGTTGAACTCCCGTGGAGTTTCATATGTTCATAAATCTTCACGGGAGTTAAACTCCCGTGAAGATTTATGAAGAAATTAAGCTTCACGGGAGTTCAACTCTCGTGAAGTTTAATTTCTCAATAAACTTCACGGGAGTTGAACTCCCGTGAAGTTTCGGAAAACTTTTAACAAAAACCGACCTGTTTTCAGCGCTAGGCTGAAAACAGGTCGGTTTTTGTAAATATTTTCAAAAAGGCCGGTTTTTGCAAATAAAAACTCAAAATGGTCTGTTTTGAAAATTTGTCCTTATAAAACACGGATCTACGTATAGGGTTCCATTTTGATATTTTTTTTATTTCGGTCCCCTTTCTTCGTAAAATGTTGGCAATAAAGTTCTACGTCTGTGGGGGTGTGGACGGAAAAGTATGAAAATGTTTCACTTGTGGGGGGGGGGCATATGTGAAATATGTGAAATATGGTGAAAATTTGTTTTCATTTTACCGTGTGAGTTTTAGCTTATTTTTTAGCAAATTGCCAAACAAAAGAAAACCTGTATGCCCCTTCAGATTTCATAAAGTTCAAAGCCTTATTTAATAAATCACCATCAGTCCTCTGTCTTTTTGGTTGACAATAAAAATAAATTATAACTCACCTATTTGACAAGCATTCTATTATTAAAAATGGATTATAATCCATAAAATTTATCAAACACTCTAGATTATATTCACTTGGATTATGATCCATAAAATGAATTATAATCCACTTGGATTATAACCCAAAGTTCTTAAACATGCTCTTTTATGTATGTATGTACGTATGTATATATAGAGAGAGAAAAAAATAAGTATGCTTGGTACCAAACATAAATTTTGTACTTGGTAGTGAGGTGTCTTATTTTCATCCACTCATTCCAATTCCCAACCACTCTCAAACCGATGTGAATGTGGACCCCGATTTCAATGAGTGGAGGGGAATATGTAATCTCACTACCAAGCACAAAAACTTGTACTTTGTACCAAGCATACACATTTTTTATTATTAATATATATAATATATATATTATTATATTATATATATATATATATATATAATATATATATATTATATATATATATATATATATATATATATATATATATATATATATATATATATATATATATATATATATATATATATATATATATATATATATATATATATATATAGAGAGAGAGAGAGAGAGAGAGAGAATATGGCGTATATTTGGTACCAAGCACAAATTTTATGCTTGGTAGTGATGTGACACAATCCCCTCCACTCATTCAAATAGGGACTACATTCACATGGGTTGAGGAGTGCATGAGGATATGCAACTATTGATTGAGTGGAGAGGATTATGTCACCTCATTACCAAGCATAATTTTTTGTGCTTGGTACCAAGCATACCCATTTTTCTCATATACTTATATATATATTATATATATATATATATATATATATATATATATATATATATATATATATATATATATATATATATGAGAAAAATGTGGTATGCTGTTGTACCAAGCACAAGTTTTGCTTGCTTCATAGTGAGATAGCATATTCCCCTCCACTCATTGAAATCGAGACCCACATTCACATGGGTTGGGAAGTGGTGTGAGAATTGGAATGAGTGGATAGGAATAGGATAACTCACTACCAATCATACTTTTGTGCTTAGTACCAAACATACTTATTCTCTTTCTACCTCTCTTTCTCTCTCTCTCTCTCTCTCTCTCTCTCCTCTCTCTCTCTCTCTCTCTCTCTCTCTCTCTCTATATTATATTATATATATATATATTATATATATATATATATATATATATATATATATATACTTATTTATGTATGTGTTAAAGATCAAGATAATTTATTTATTTATTTATTTTATTACTATAAATAAGTCAAATTCATTTTAATTATTAGATTTGCTATAATTTTAATTTGAACATTATAAAAAATTGATCTAATGGATTTTGGTGTTAAAGTGTAATCAATATACTTAACTGGGATATCATAGTTGATTTCCTAAGAAAAATATATTAATTGGTATAATAATATCTTCAAGCATAATAGTAAAAAAGTTAAATTGATACTACATGTCATATTCTAAACTCTATTAATCCCAAGTTATAGTATGGAGTCAAGAATGAATAATAATATCATTATGAATAATAGTTCTAGCAATAAAAAAATAACATTTCTTATTGCATTGAAAATAGAATTGTACAATACTTTTCAACATTATAAGCTCAATATTTATAATAAACAATATCAAAAGCAAACATTAAAAAAAAGAAGTACGGCATGTATGATATATATATGAGCCTACATTATTTGATAGACTTAAAATAATAAAAAGATAAAAACTAAAGATTAATGGTTACTATAGTATAATTTTATGTGATAAAAGCAATCACATAAGCATACAAAAATCTTAAAATTTTGCGTGAAAATTCCTTCTAAAAATTCCTAATTTTACCCAAAAAATTAAGTTATAATATAAAATGTTAAAAAAATATTATAATTTATTCTTTTTGTTTCATATTTTGATTGAGCTGAGATCAATCTTTCTCCACCTTTATATTTCTCCTGGGTAATTCTAGAGTAGCGTCTTCATCATCTACGTCAACTGTGATATCATGTTAGAGTTAAATTTCTTGAAATTAATCTCTTCAAATAATAGAGTCCAACATCAAAATAAACTCATTTGTCTTCTGCTCCCCCTCGAAAACCATAACCCTAATTCATGAAATGGGTTTGAACATAATGAAGAACAAAAGATAATGTCAAGAGATAAAAAAAGGAAAAATAAGGAATTGGATAAGAATCGCTAGGTTTGTACATAACAAATAGCAAAAAATAGGACAAGAGTCCAGAAATATATTAGGATATACTTGGATCAATTAAATTATGTTATTACTCATAATTGATATGCATAAGAGACAAAATATGTTGACAATCTTAAACTATAAAACAAACTGTATGGGCCCTCTAACATAACTTTTTTAATGTAAGCAACCCCCAAGATTAATTTTAAAAATCACTTGGTTTTATGAAAGAGTTTAGGTGTAAAAAATATTAAATTATCTAATCTGATTAAAGTAGGATCATATAAGTTAACTCCATACATAAAATTTATTTTAACTAAAACTCATGTATAAATATTATAATTGGCATTAAGATCTAAGAAATGTGTGAGATTATCTTTGACTTTTATACAAACAATATTTATTTAAATAATAATAGTATGTAGGGTGAAAATTTGATTTCCCGGAAACAGGGAGTTTCATTTGTATTGATAAGAAGGCTTATTACAAACTAACAAATCAAATGTTTACAATAGAAGCAGAGGGAAAGCCCTCTTTGTTTTGTGTGGGGACTTTAGGTGGCTGTAGGACGCTTCGCTCGATGCTCGTGTCGAGTCTGCTTCCCTTGGACCGTTCGATCGAGGCTGCTGGGGAGCTTCAGTACGCAGTAGAAGCTCGGGGCAATAGAGTTCAAGTCTGCTTAGTTCGCCGGCGATCGGAGCTCGGAACTAGGCAGTGGTGCTGCAATGCAAAGATTATGCAGAGAGCTTATGGTTCAATCAGCTGATCCAACTATGAACGGATTGCTCAATAGCTAGAACAGTTGAGTCTCTTCTTCTTGACTTGGAAGAAAAGCTAAAACTTGAACCCCTTCTCCTTGGGTGGAAGAAGTTCTTACATAGTGGAGAGATGGTGTGGCTATTTGGTTGTTCCTTGAATTATGGGATGTAACCATACGTTGTTCAGGGATAGCCTACTGTTCACCTGTACCATGGGCGGTCATTCGAGGAGCTGCACTTTGCATCACGTCACGTAGGAGTGGGAAGGTCCCTCCTCGTATTCGTGACAACTGCTGTCGGATGCTTGCGTGGATCTGACCAACCAACGAGCGCCGGCGGCTCTCGCCCCTCACTTGGACAACTAAGGTGAGCCGCATTTATGAGGGTGTAGGCTGCTTTGACACCTGTCTGCTCACTTGTACTGTGGGCGGCTACTCGGCAGGCCTGGAGTACCATGTCTTCTCTCTTCAGGCCGAGAGAGGCGGGAAAGCATGCTCTTAGCACTCGAGTGGGTTTGGACAGTTCGTCGAATGCTGGCGGATCCGTCTCCTGACTTAGACAGCTGAGGTGAGTCACATTTATGAATGCTCAGGTTGACTCGACACCTGTCCAGTCTTTCGTGTTGTGCGTACTGT